CTTTAACCAGTGATTGTTGTTCCACAAAGCTGTGTCTATATACAGTATACATAGGAAACAAAACTTGGAAAAGAAACATTTTGTATTTCAGATGAATATACGGTTTACCAATGTTTCCCCATAAGCATAAAAATATTAAATATGTATAATCCTACGAGCAGTCCTAACAATCCAAACCCAGTTACCGATAGTACTTTCATGACCTCTCAACCAAAAACAAACAACGACATTTACTTCACCTTTACCCGAAAAAGAATCCAAGGAAATAACTCACCGGGTCTTCTGCGGGTACGAGAGGTACCTTTCAAAGGATCAAAATAGTAGTTCCCCCTCGGTTTTGGCGTGGGCCTCATTAGAGCTTAAAATTATTCTCCAACATTCACCATATGGATTAACAGAAAATCAGCTTCAATTTGTCAAAACAACGAGAGTTATTTGCCCCACCCGTGAACTCAATCAAGGATTTCACTATGTAAAGAAAAGACATTTTATTTTGGCGAGGTTGTGTTTATTTTTACCTTGCCGTCAGACTGTTAACCTTAGTATAGTTTATGATGGTTTTATTGCAGATGAAATAATAAGATCACTGAAGAAGTTTACTACTAGGTCACCTAGGGTGGTTCTTTCAAATTTACATGTTACCAGAACAAGAATATTTTTTAATTAACTTTAAACAAATTAACACGTATCTTTTACCTGGGATCGAAACTCATATTATTTCTTTATGGTAAAACCCAGTGTTTTTTGGTGTTAGGGTGTATTGAGACGAGTTCTAAACTGGCCTAGCAATAGATAAGTCTATTGTATAAGTAAATTACAAGACACAAAAGTCCCTAGTCGAATCGGAAGCTGAGCCCATGTCGTTTAGATCCAGATTAATCAGATGCTCCTCGATGTCGCCAGTTGCCAAAACCAATCTAGTTGAAAATCCATTTGATCTCAGATTCTTTAAAGTGGGTACAGGTTAACTGGTGATTCAAAGCATAAACTTTAATTAGCATTGAAATCTAGGACATACATGTAAACCTAGGATTGCTTTTTTGGCTGTTCATCCGACAATGTGCATTACATTTTGAACTACCAATACACCCAGTTGCATGATAACTTTTAAACTAGATGCAAAGAACCAACTAGGACGCGTGTGCAACTTCAAGGAGCACCTTTACAATCCGTTCGACCAATCATACCATAATTTCAGAAACAGGAATTTTATTTTGTTTACATAATCAGTAATAGTGTTCACAGCTCATCGTCGAAATTTGAGCCTTTAAATCCATGTGTATCCATAATTATTCAGGTTTGAAAGTTGAAAATTCGACTCGAATTTTAGTGAGACTACGCCATATAGAGAAAACACATATATAATATATAGGAATAGACAGTGAAAGTTTTAGTTTGAGGTATATTTGAAGGGATTATGCGATTTGCATATGTTTTAGTACTTCTTAAGACTATAAAAGCACAGTAAATCGCATTCATCGAAAATGCCGACTGTTCCCCTTTAACATCAATATCCATTTCATTACATCCGAGTACTGTTCGAAGTTAAAGGCAACTCTTAACATAGCATTACAATAGAAATTCGTACAAGCAAATCGATTTAATTTACAGAAAATCACACCAAATATAAAGCGACAAAATCAGGTGTTGTAATCTTGAACATCATTACAATCTGGGTATCTAATTTGCGGTACGCCTATTACAAAATGTTGTGTAAAACATGATGACACAAGACAACAGGATTGAAAACCTCGGACAACTCAGTAACAATAAAGACAATTCTTAACTTGCAGTGTAACATAAGAATTTTGCTATATTTGATATATATTAACCAGCAACGCAATCTTTTATCTTAGACATTTAAATCAGCCATTTAACCCATGGTAATGGATAATTCAGCAGTATAGTCGAGCAGCAATAATTTGGAATATATTTTCCTACCAGTATCAGAGAACTAAGCCAGAAATTACGTTTCGTGAAGGAGGGTTTTTCAACGAGTAAGACCTTCTTGGAAAGTAGAACAGTTTATTTGTTCTGACTGTAAAATAAGGTTCAAGTTGTATATCCGCTAATCTTTAACTAAACAGACGAGTGGCTTACTTTTTTTTCTAAATAAATATATGTAGCTTAAAACCAGGTGGAAAGTGTGACGAATTTCACGATATTCATGAAGATCTATTTGTAACATATACATTAGACTGCTTATTGTAGGGCGCCAAGATTAAACTGCTTCTGAAGTAAAATTGAATCATTGGTTAAGGTCGTAACAGCAATCAGTGAAGGACAGACTGGGACTCCTATCGTTGGCTGTCTAAAACTGGTCGAAATTTGATGTTGACAATGACACCAATTTAAGAAATGTCTATTCACTATATGAATCGGTGTGAGACAAGGTTATGTTTTCAGTCCATACCTGTTTAATTAATTTGTACTGACCACCTCCAATATAGGTAACAATATATAAGTCTACAGAAATGACCAATGCTACATTTCACTGTCTACACGGGAATTGTTTTTTTCACCTGACATAGCTACGTGAACTACTTACCTATAATTGTAAGTCAATGTAACACTTGACTAACACATTATAGTGTTTCTTTACCTGCAGCAATATAGTTAAAAAAAAGTCATTAGACTGGTACTTAGCACCATACACTTAAAAGAAACGCATCCACCAAAGGTTATAAAAGCCATTTGAACGAAATAATGTGCTTCAAATAGTACAATCGCTACGATGAGGATAGCTGTTTATAGCCTCCTTGCATTCTGGCTTTCAGCCTCGTTGGTTACTGGAAGATCTACGAGGAAACAACGATCAACATTTCAGCAAGATCCACTGTGGCTCCTGACTTCACAATCGCCACAAAGACTAGATACATACCAATTTACAACCAGTCCATTTGCTAACTGGTTTACTTCCGATACATTTGGTCAGAATAATAACTATGGATCTAGGAATGCTAATCAGTGGAGAACTAGTGGATCTAATACGCGAGCTACTGGTGGGTCTAAACCCACGGCTATAACCAGAAGAAGATCTAATACGAAAAGCGATCCATGGCCCGACAATAACGGGAGGGCCAACACTCAATGGGCGCAAACGCAAGGACGCAAAAAGAAACCTGAAAGAAATACAAAATATGCCAGTAATACCCGTGTAACACCTGCCAATAGAGTTAACAGCGGACGTGCCAACACCGACCCGTGGCCAAACAACAACAACGGACGTGTCAACAACGATCCATGGCCAAATAACAACAACGAACGCACAAACAACGACCCGTGGCCAAATAACAACAACGGACGCACCAACAACGATCCATGGCCAAATAACAACAACGGACGCGCCAACAACGACAAACAAAGTGACGGCATTGATACGAGAGTTGGACCTGTCAATAACGACCCATGGCCAAACAACAACAGCGGCCGAACGAACAACGATCCATGGCCAAACAGCAATAATGGCAGAACAAACAACGATCCATGGCCGAGCAACAATAATGGGAGGACAAACAACGATCCATGGCCAAACAATAACAACGGACGGACCAACAATGATCCATGGCCAAGCAACACCAATAACGGACGAACAAACAACGACCCATGGCCAAACAATAACAACGGAAGAACAAACAACGACCCATGGCCAAACAACGGTCGAGCGAACAACAAAAATAACGGAAGAGCAAACAATGGGAATTATGACGGAAGCGATACTCGCGTTGGACCCACTGTTAATGATCCATGGCCCAAGAACAACAATGGACGAACAAACAACGATCCGTGGCCAAACAACAACAATCGAAGAACAAACAACGATCTGTGGCCCAACAACAACAATGGACAAACAAACAACGATCCGTGGCCAAACAACAACAATGGAAGAACAAACAACGATCCGTGGCCAAACAACAATAATGGACGTACCAACAACGACCCATGGCCAAACAACAACAACAACGGTCGAGCTAACAACGATCTGTGGCCAAACAACAACAATGGACGAACCAACAACGATCCGTGGCCCAACAACAACAATGGACGAACAAACAACGATCCATGGCCAAGCAACAACAATAATGGGCGAGCTAACAACTACCCCTGGCCTACAAATAACGATGGTAGTGATACTCGATTAGGGCCAGTAAATAATGACCCTTGGCCAAACAACAACAACGGGCGAACCAACAACGATCCATGGCCCAGCAACAACAATGGTCGAACAAACAGCGATCCATGGCCTAACAACAACAACGGACGGACCAACAGCGATCCATGGCCCAACAACAACAATGGTCGAACAAACAGCGATCCATGGCCTAACAACAACAACGGACGGACCAACAGCGACCCATGGCCCAACAACAACAATGGTCGAACAAACAGCGATCCATGGCCTAACAACAACAACAACAACGGACGAACCAACAATGATCCATGGCCAAATAACAACGGGCGTGTTAATAACGATCCTTGGACTGCAAATAATGATGGAAGTGATACCCGCGTTGGGCCAGTTGAGCCATGGCAAAACAGCAATAATAATGGAAAATCAACGGATGTTAAAACTCCTTATCAACAAAATACAAACAGTAAGTGTTTTCATAAAATTCCACACAGAATCGTGTTCAGAAATAAACTATACAAGATGTCGATGAAAGGATATATCTCTTCTTTTTTCAGATGGAAGAAATATAAACTGCGCCGCAGCTAATAATCCAGATTCATGTGATGTTTATGACTGTTTCCCAGCATATCTTCAAGATTGTTCAACAGCATACCTCGTCCCGGGCGCCAAAGGGTTCTGTGATATGTCGCTTAAGATTCAGCAAAACAACGAATTTAACACCGAGGTAAAAATGTTTTCTGTTCATTTTGCGTTAGTCATCTGCATTTGTCCTGCTGGTTATATTTTATATTGCAGGGTTCTTCCAAGCATTATTTTCATTGTCATCAGTAATTAGTTAGATTAACATTTGAATCGAAATCTTTTTGTCGGGTTTCGGTCTTTTTATATGTTCTTGGCACGAGTCAAAACCCCAGGCATCACAGAGTAAATATGTACAATGTTCTTTTCCTCAGGGTAATAACTATATTCGAGGTGTTAGAAAGTGTCAGACAAGAGCTCTTTTAGATTTTACTACCGAATCTATCTGTGATCTACTTAATATTGGAGTAAACGACAGCCTGGTCAGTCAGCCATTACCTGGTGGAGGCATACCGTTAGGAGATTGTTTTTACAATAATGGCCAATTCTGTGATATCGTTAGAAGTGAACAAAACTGTGCTGCACTTTTCCATATTTATGGTGGACTTGGTAGTACACAATACCAGTGAGTATGATTTTTGTTTTTTTTTCTTCATTTGTTACCAAGATCCATCAAAACCGCAGTGGCCAAACTACCATAGGCATGCATAAGGGTGCCCCACCCCCAGACCAAAGTGTAGGAGAGCATTATGTGAAATAAATTCCTAGAGCCCCCACTCACCTAATTGAGCCACAATGTCTGTGATAGCTATATTGAAAAATGTCAAAAAGACGACACATGACAAACAGAGGTCAGATGAGAGAAAGTTTTTCTTTACTCTAATAGTACTGTGTACCTTTGGTTGCGACTTGGTCGATGACAATATTTGTGAATGTAGGAATACATATATACTTGTTTGTGGCCTATATTTTGTCTGTGCTGAAATACGATATAACCAATAAGGATTGGCACAATCAAAGCCAGTTCTTTACAAAAACCGTACGATCAAAACCTATCCATAGTGTAAAATCCTGACCTTGTACACTTGCAAACTTCGATAACTTTGATTTAGGTATCTTTGTGAAGCAGTGGTCGGGTTAATGGATTCTGATATAGAATACAATCTGCTTCGACTTATTTACTTATTTCACTGATAGTGTCGAAGTTAATTTTAGGAATTCTCAAGAGCCATCTCTGATATTTTCCAGAATTTTCATCCATTTCAACAATCTTTTGATTAAATGTGATGATACTACACGAGAAATATTCAAAGATACTTACAACAAAAAATTCTTCTTGGTTTTGGAGGACAGTCAGCAACAAACTAAACAGCAAACGGCTCCGTACTATCCAACTACACCTATGATGCCAGGAGCCGGTGGTGATTAAAGGCTGGCAGCACTGGATATTGGACTCTTTGACTTGTGCTTATTTTCTTGAAGCAGCTAATACTATCACTCAAGCATATCGTGGTAAGATAGATATTCTTGAGTCTTGAGTTTGTTTATATTTTTTTCATTTCTTGTCCGATTGTTTACCTCCTTAATTTCATAATTAAACACCTTCCTCTCCATTGTCTTACTGTATACTACATAAATTTATAGCAATCAATCATTCAGAGGTTTGCCATGTCGCTTTCTGTAGGATTGATATATTGCAATTTAATATGTAATATGATTGAAATGTGACTTTTGATAATTAATTCCTTATCAATTCTGTTCTGTGAGTTACACCAAGTTATCATGAACAGAGGTCAACAGCTCAGATCATTATATGTGGGCATTTCTTTTTAAGGGTGGGTTTTTTTGTAAAGATGACTTACTGCGCCCAACCGTTCAATCCTGAATAAAAATAGGATGCTGTTCTATCATGAAGTGCCGTGTTTAACAGCCGAATTCTAACATGCCGGTTCATAATTAACATACAATAGTATTCTTTACTTTTACATTTAATATTTGGGTTTGAGGACATTGCTAAGTGGAAATTGTCTATTTTTCAGTTAGTAGCGATAAAAAAAAATATCAATTTCAAATACATTTGACTGAAGATTCGGTATTTTAAAGAAAAATAATAGAAAATCGAATAGATTGCGTTTATTATCAACTTCATGAAGTAAAAACCACACAAACATCAGAGAAATGAAAAATGCTTTTGTATAAGTGTATTTAATCGCCTGCGCCCCCTCTCATCATCATTGCTGGCACTGGTGTTGGGGCTTGTGGTGGGTCATTTAATGTGCCTGGTGGGCATTGATTGATGAAATTCTCTTGGAAAACGCCTTGTGCAAATTCTGAACAGAAGTTAGAAAGGTTTTGGAAATGTTCAGCGAGTCTGAAAAATAAGAACAAGTCAATGAGCTAAATGCAACCAATTTCGGCCGGAGGAGTGATGCCCAAGAATCGTTAGTTTTTTGTTGTAGATTGCATATCAATATCAATCGGTTTTAAATCTTAAGTCTTGAATCTCTATGACATGCATTGGATTGCGACGGATTGGCGACCTGTCCGAATCAGATTGCTGGACTAAGGTTGCTTGTTGGAACAGGCTATATATTCAAAAGTACAGTGCCATACTATTCCAGTCTTACATAACTTTTCAGCACTTTTGTTTTAGCTTATTTTTAAAGACAACTTACGCAATCTGTTCATCATCGAAACCATCTCCATCATCATCATTGAACACAACTTGAACTAAGGCTTGATTATCTTTTGGATTACAGATGATATCACAGAATTGTTGACTCTGCCAGTAACAATCTTGAGAACTAATTCTGACAGCGTCTCCACCAAATAATGCTACTAAAGCCTTATCATTGATAGATTCACAGCTTTGACTTTTTTCAAAACCTAATAATTGTTTTGTTTGACATTTTCGTACCTTCTTGATGTATTTTCTTCCCTAAAATTGAAACAAATGGGTTCTTTACTGATATACTACTTCTAAAATTCTAAACGAATGGTGGTGTATGGTAAATTGGAACATACGTCTTTAGCTTCCTTATTCTATTTAAAAGGAACAATCGAGGGGATCACGAAATACGTTCGTTTTTACAAACAAATATTTTCACGATGATAAAAACTGTACTCTCTATCGTGTTCACAAACAAATTTTGACGCGGTTTTCATAAGTCAAGGGCAATAACTCAAAAACCGTTCATCGAAAGATCGTCAAATTTCGAACTTGTCCAAGATCTCATGAATATAAATGATCACACTAAATTTCATTCAAATCAGATAAAAACGGTTGTCTCTATTGCGTTCATAAGCCAATTGTGGGCGGACGGAAGTCTGTGGGCGTATAAAAACTAAAATTGTCTTAAAATATTCAGCTTACCTGTTTTGAAAATTGTTTTCCTCTGAGCGCGATTTGAGAATTTTGGCAGAAACTTTCTAAATCCTGGATAAAGAATTCTCCCTGGTTTAAACACGTTGGCTCAATCTTCTCAAAACATTTATAATATCTACAGCTGCCCCTATTCGCTAACCTCTGACATTTGTTACCATTCTTCCCTGAAATTAACGAAAAATGTTATAATTTGTGGAATCATGACGGTCAAATGTTAAAATTTGAAAATCAAAGTAAATCATCACGATTCTATGGGAATTATTTCTAAAATAGACATAAATATAAATTCCTTGATAATGGAATGATCTGATCAACGGGAACTTTGTCAAACATCTGACTACAAAGCAAGCCTTAAGATTTCACTGTACAGCTTGGCCCATTAAGCAACCACCTTCAGTATTTGACCAAATTTAACCATTCCTCTGACCGCTTACTCAATGCAATTTTGACTAAAAAGTTAAAGAGTGGAACTTACTTTTTGGTTTTCGTGGTCGTTTTGGTTTTCTTTGTCGTCTACCTGGTCCTTTGCCTCTGCCTGGATTCGCCCATGAAGGATCTTGAGGTTCAACGGGAAATGGATTAGTATTTGGTTGTCCCACCCAGGCGGGATCTTGAGGCAAGCTTGGCGGATCTGGAAATTGAGGTAAAGATGGTGGAAATCCTGGATTCTGTGGACCTTGGGGATCAGATGGTGGATCGTCCCATTCGATATCCTTTAATGGTAGAGGATCGATGGCTGGTGGCGGGAAACCATAACCTTTTCCATAAACTGTTGATGTAAAAACAGCTACAATAGCTACGGCTGAAACTAATATGATACATGGTGAAATCTGGTCGTGATCAAATAGAAGATGTCCCAATCTAGAAACGTCAAGATTTTTATACAAAAAGCTTGTTTGCAGATGTCAAATTTCGATGAATAATTCTAATAAGGTATATCAAGAATTAGTTTTGAAGTTAACAACATTTGATCCGAATCACTAGTTAATATTCATCCTTGATATTGCCATATTGGTGTAATGTTTATGGTGAAAGTAAAGGGGACATCATCAGATCATGTCAGTCATATTGGAGTAACTCTTATTTACAGTTAAGATTTTAATTCACGTAATCAAAAGTCATTAAAATTTTACAGACGACCTTTCAAGGTGTCTACTGACGTTTGTTTGTGGTGGGTGCAAATACAACTGGTAAATGAGTACTCTATTCCCACCAGGTGAAGCAACAAAAGTGGCGTAGTTTTGTATTGGGTAGGGGCGGTTTGGCGTCAGAAATCTCAACCATGGTCAAATATTTCTATTTATTAATTCAAAGCATTATGAAAAATATTTCTCAAACATGTTCCGAAAATTCTGAAAACGGAGCCCACACTATTATCAACCTAACTACGCTCTTGTCCTATAGAGTTCTTAACGGCAGGATCAATACGTGGATTGATTGGTTTTGAATACATCGGATTTCAATCACAATTCATAATAATTTTAGTAACAGATACCTTAATGGGGCCTGAAAAATCATAATTGTAGAACTGGGAGGAAGGGAAAGATGAATGTGCTCGGGCGGAGTAACTTGTACCCTGCACATCCAACTGACTGAGCCATACAGTCTGCAACAGTATCAGGCTTCTTACACTGTTTCAAGATAAACTTTTGATTGAATTTAAAAGATTTATTTGGAATTAAGTTATAAATATAATTTATACCATACATGCTAACAAACATTTCTCTAACAAACAATCTTATAACAATAAATAATAAAATATCTTGGTGTATACACTTCAATAACTAAAATTTAACATTCTAAAGTGATAACTTCCACTATTCTATTTTATTAATAGAATTCAATTTCAATGCTAAATATGACATTCAAATTAAATTGATCCAAAACTTCATATTATCCCAAGGCCTTTTTAAAATTCAATAAATGCCAATAATGGTTTAGAAAATCATGCAAAAGATCTAAATTCGAAAATGAGTAAATGAAATTTAATCTTATCAGAGTTTTAAGTAACTAAAATCATTAGGAGAAATTCTAGGCAGTGAAATGCAGGTAGTCAGAACAAGTGTATCAATTGTGACTGAAAATGGATCTAACCTATATCACAGGATTTGTTACAATATGTATATATATGTTTGTTGTTGGTAAGGCTACAATGTTCACAACCAATCACTCTCATAGGTCTATATGGCAAGTAAATAGTCATCATTTTGTACTAATCAAACAAAACTGGGACACCTCACTTTTTTATGTTTAGTTTTTTTGGGGGTTATTGTGAAATATGGGATTTCACTAAATATATAAGATGTTTAGTTGTGTAGTCATGTATTTATAAAGACAATAGATGTTAATTATTCATGAGAAAAAAGGAATCTTTAATACATGTAGTTGTCCCAGAGATTAAATAGAGCACATAATGAAACTTCTGACTAGTAAACTTTTTATAAAGTAATTGTATATATCATTAACAACTTGAATGACTGAATGGATATACAATTTATATTGTAAATATTGCAAATTTGGTCTAATCAGCAAAAAAAATGGATGAAAGTTGATCAAGATCATTTTGATTATTAAAAGGTCATCATCATTTTCTGAAGTTTCTAAATTATCAAATATATTTCAATTTTTAAATCTTGCACCAACTAGACTTGTCTCAATTGATTATATATTGTTCATTTTCAGACTTAAATAGACTTTCAGACTTTACACTTAAAATACTTGCACTAACAAAAAGCACTTATGAATTATGCCATTATGAGGTATGTTAAAAAATATACATGTATAGGCTTATATTCTGTGCCCTGATGAGATCATATAAAGGTGTCATTTATTTGCATTAGATCTGAAGATTTTGTGAATATAAAATCATTGCACTTAAACAATGATAGTGTAGAAAAAATCAAAGATTCAACCTCACAGTTTCTGAGCTTATGTTTCAAAGGAAATGGTAACTCTTTTTTATTAAGTTTTAAACCATTTTCAGTTTGCACTAGTTTTTTATGTTGGGGAGATATAAATATTGCCATTTAACATTAAAATAAAAAAAACACAAAGATACTCCAACTGTCAAATAACTAAGTTCAGACATACACTAGTTAACAATCAGCAATTTATTCTAAAATCAAAGGTGCATACTTTATAAAGCTTCTAGATCTATATGTCGTACTCTGGGAAATTTTTTCTGAAAGTAAAAGAATGAATCAGCAAAAATATATTTCAACATTTTCCAGAAAAAAATAACATACACTACCAAATATCATTCTATTAATTTTTTATGAGATTCAGTTGATTTACTTCAAAACAAATTTGCTCTTGATAATTAATATTTAATTAACAGACATTTAATGCTCTAAAAAAACGTTCATTTTTTAGGTTAAGTGTAAAAAAAGCTATTATTATTTTCATACTCTTGAGAAAGAGTCAGCACCACATTAGCTGGATTTTTGTTATGTTGTCATGTACATGAAAACTGCCAAATTTCATCAGTTGGTAATATACTAAACTAGGCTATAAACTAAACTATACTTGAAGATATAACAAACCTGTAAATTCTTTTCAATTCTATCAGTTTGTGAACCAACATTATCTACTATCTGTTCTCCATGTTTTAACATAAACTTATCTAAATCTTCTTCAGTTTTAATAGTTTCTATTTCCTATCAATACCAAACATTAAAATTACATATCCTCTCTAGCATACTGTCTTATTTCTGACCTCTGATAGCTACTGTTGACAGAGATTATATTTAGGAGAGTCAGAAATAGTTGGTTGGTGGAATGGGAATAATTCACATCATTATCAAACTTATTTTCTTGACAAATAATCTATCAGATAGAAATTTAAATGAATTCCTATATATGTCATAGAGGCTGCTCATTTAATGAGTTCTGCACATTCAGGATTTATGGAATTATGGACTAAGCGCATTTCACATGTGCCGAAAAAAATTGTAGACTGAATTCAACATGGCAGAGAAGGAAATAGATGGGAAACTTTTGAATGTAACATATTCTGCTTTCATAGCGTTCCATAGATAACGGACATAAAGGGAATAAGAGAAGTTTTCCATATTTTTAAAAATATATGTTTAGATATGGGATTTATATTATACCTTTAACATTTGTTGTTTATCTAGAGTTCGTAAATAATCTCTTGTAACCTCTAAACTATCATAGTAAACTTCACCTTTAAACTTAATATCACCATCCAATTCTGTAGCTTTAGCATCATGTATAGATCTTCAAATACATATACAGCTATATATTATATAAATATTCACAATGATTCTAAGTGTTAAGATAACAACTTTCAGATTAAATAAGAAAACATTAAAAAAAGGCTCTATAAATAAATCATATAGACTTTTGAAATATAAAGAATTTGGTAATTTTTTCACCGTATTGGGGACATTGATAGCATTGATTTGCATCATTCCAATTTTCTGACAGGTGATTTTTGGTGAAATGATCCAAATCAATGCTAACAGTGTCCCCAATCCACATGAAAAGATTTCCAATAAATGGCCCCTGATACACTTAAAAAAGCTTCAAATCCTCTTTAAATGAGTTAAGCACTGAATAATTACTATTAAACAATCTGATATGATTCATCAGTCTTACCTGATCATTCTATCATCTTCCAAGAAACTTCTGATACCTTCCAATTCTTTTCTTGGAATAGCTCTGGAATTTTGAAATAAACCTACTGACATGGAAAAATATTACAATGTGTCAATATGGAGGCAAATTTTCAACAGTAAAAATTCGAAAAGAGATTATGCTCAGTAAATTGAATTGTCAGGAAAAAATACCATTATGAATGACTATAGACACTTTTTCTGCCATGGTTATTGCCTATAGGAAAAGTCAACAATCAGTGATGTAGGGGGTAAGGGGCATTGCACCCCCAGAAAAGAAGCTGACCAGGCTAAGGCCGCCTCCCATTTTCTGATTTCTGGTTCCTGATTTGCCTCGAAGCTTGACAATTCTGTGGTCCTTTAGGACAGACGTCCTCACTCAATGATTGATGCCCCAATATTTACCGATATGTATGAAAAGGGTGATTGTGATTAATCAAAATAAGGAACAGATTTTAACCTTTCATCTATACATTTGACATTGATCTTAAACACAGCAGCTGCTACTCCTGCCAGCACACCACCAATTAACAATGATCCAAGAGGGTCAGCAGCTAGAAAATACGTTGATGATAAATACATACAACCAGCAGCTATAGGTGCTCCTAAAATAGCTGCACCATCTTCAAATAATATCATTGTCACTATAGGGTCATTACCTTTCCATACTGAAACAGACAAAAATACAAAATGTAGTTATTAACTGAGTTAATAACCTTGTGTAATACATGCATTGACCACAAAGAATTTCATCCAATTTTTTTTATATCAACAATATCTTAAGGGATTGTGAAATAGGCTTATTGTAGACATTTTTGGAAGCATTTCATCCTATATTTTGAAACTTCTTGTCCAACACTTCCATGAAGGAAATGGGGTTTTCCATCAAATTCATTCCCCCTGATAACCTGATGAAACGGGTAATGCAATATTTCTCTAGAAATTCTCTTACTGCAAATAGCTTTATGAAGACTCGTCAAAATCAAATTCCATTATATCATAACTACTATATACTGTATATTCAAACATATATTGAACTTCTAATATTTATGTCTTTATTAGCCCCATGGTGCAGAAAAATAGGACGTAAAATTCCATTCATTTCAATTCATTTTTAATATTTATAATTTCCTAACACAACACTCACATTACTAAATAAGCTGCTATCATTCAAACAAATATATGATTGAGAATTTATAAAAGACACTTACAGTAATCTTTATAAGTCATTCCTTTAGCTTTACTTTCTTTTCTCATCTTATCAAAGGCTACCATGAATGAAACTAAAATAAATATAACAGGTCACTCCAAAATATCATTGAACATTCATAGTAGGTGGTGACTTACAAGCTCTATTTGAACTACATTTTTTTTTTATTTGATGTTTTTAAGAAATAATATGCTTAAAATGTCTTAAAGGAAAACCATGGTATATGATTAGCAACATACATAAATAGAATCTGAGAGGAGAGTAAGTGGAGCTTAGGTATGCTACAATCAGTACATTTTGATGTTATTGCATGGATGAAGCTCCACCTCTTTATTAACAAAAATCATGACTTGCATGAGCTCCTTTTTTATTTGATAAAACAGCAACTAATCGATACTGTATTAAGTTCAAGCTGTCAATTCTTATAATTATGTTTATGATCTCGTATTTAATCACACAACTATCATTCTCTATCATATTCAATAAAAAATATATACCTGATTCACACACAAAGGAAAAGCCTAATACACCGTAACCCTGAAAAAATAAATTCAACATAACTTAGAGGGCATAGAAAAATCTATAACTGTTACAAGTGATGTTATTCTTTGCAATGGAATGTCTATAAACAAAATATTTTTGTCATGATTCAAAGATGTGAATGTAAGGTTTAACTCTCCTATTTTCTACTTCTGATTGGGATAATAACAATAGACAACATCATGAGGGAGCAACATTGGAGTCTCTTTTTCCATCATATTTAACATATATAGACAGTGGAACAGCTTATTGTCTAAGCCAGTAGAAAATCTTGAAAATATTTGCTTGTCAGTCATTATCATCATCAGTATTGGCCATATTGAAAAAGTTCTTGTGATAAATACAGTTCAGTCAAAATCCCAATATTTATCATCTTATATATCATGATTTAGTGAAATATGATATTAATAACAATACAAATTCTTACATCTGTTTTTACTGACATACAGGCCCAGCCTTAAATTGTTATCAATATTAATTAGTGAACTTACCAAAGCAGCATTTTCTAAATGACTGAGATGAAATAATCCATAAACACCATAACCTATTGACAATGCTGAACCAACGCCAAATAGATAAAATCCTGACATTATAGCTACTAGATGACGGAATTTAGAGTAACCATATCTTAGAAATTAGAATTATTATAGTTCTTTATTAATACAGTTAAAACATCACAACTTACAACATACTAATTTAAAAATGATGTAAAAAAAAAAAGTTATTTCAAGTTCTTGTTGTGTGCTTATTGAGATTGTTTTTCAAAGGTTGTGCATACATCTGATGCCCAAGTAGAAGATATAATGACAACAACGTCACCTAGTTATTAATTATATTTTGGTACTTTATATCTTATACATCATTTAAAAAGCTGACAATATAATGATAACAAAATAAACTTACGGATATTTGGAATCTGGTTTCCGTGCTGAATAGACAGAAGCCCACATTAAAGCAAACTGAAACATACAAATTTAAACTGAAATTTAAAATTTCATCTGTTTTAAACATCAACAAGCTTGATTCGTCCTGTTCAATGAGAACATATATGAAAACTGGTTAAGCAAAAGCTGTCTTGAGTTTTCACCATACCCTACTCAATTCTTACATATACTACAGCACTGGTGCCTAACATCCAGTACTGGTGAACACCACATGGGGGCACCTGTAAGCAATAATTTGCACCATTCCAATTTTCAAACTGACCTCTATGGTTCCTGCAATCTTACTAAAACTCAGTGTTTGATGACGTCAGTAATCACAGAATATGCTTTATCACCTAAGGCCCTTCATGATTACACAAAAAAATTGAATCCCTTTAAAAAAGGTAAATATACCTGATTGATAGTATCAAACAATGAATGAATTGTTTCACTAAACATACTACTAGATCCAGTATAGAGATAGGCTACAAATTTTACACAAGTTATAGCTGCATTCCTGTAATAAAGACAAAAACATTACCAAATTAGCTTGTACAGTTCCTTGAATAAATAAGATAGTGGACCACAGCCATATACGCCCACCACGGCATGCGGATGGTAAATATTCAAGATTTTGGGGCAAGGGCAATAACTCTGCTTCTAACAGTCGAAAGTAGCTCAAATTCAAACTTGATCTTCTCTTTTATGAATATGTATACACATACCGAAATTTCATTTTATTCCATCATAAAAATCTAGTTTTTAGAGCGTTTACAAGCAAATTTTGACGGACGGACTGACGGACCTTCATTTCATGAATATGTATGCACATACCGAATTTCATTTGATTCCTTCAAACACTCTAGTTTTTTGAGTGTTTTACGAGCAATTGATATGTTATAGAAGCACTTACTATATAGAGGTTAAACTCCTCCAAACTGACGTAAGAGGCCTAAATCTTGAAAAAGCCTTAAATTTAATCAGAGGTAAACTAAACTTTCGCAAACCTTTAGATTAAGGTCCAATAACATCCATTTTAAGTTTCATCAAAATCGGTTGAAAACTAAGAGAGTAATAGCGTTTCAAGATTTTGGGGCAAGGGCAATAACTCCGCTTCTAACAGTAGAAAATAGCTCAAATTCGAACTTGATCTTCATTTTATGAATATGTATACACATACCGAATTTCATCAAAAAATCTAGTTTTTAGAGCGTTAACAAGCAAATGTTGACGGACGGACCGACGGACAGACATGGGTGTCGACAGTATACGTCCACATAGAGAAATGTGGGCGTATAAAAACTAAGAAAGAAAACTTAAATCATTTGCAAGTCATTCTTTATAAGTTTAAAAACTTTGACAAATTGTATACTTCCTAATGTTTATTGTAGAGTTTAATGACAAAAAGAAGCAGACAATACAGTAAAAATTGTATTATAAGACCACGAAAGATAATTTTTTATAATATTGCATAATAAAGGTGATCGTGTGAGCAGGATTCACTGTATCAATAAAGATACTTACATTAATAAGGCTATTTTAACTACAAATGTAGAGCCTTTTACTGGCTGAAAGACAAACATTTCAATTATAAGCACAAAGAACTCAGAAAGAATGTCTAAAAATAAACTGAGTGACATTGATAGAGCAACCAGTAGAGAAATATAGGAATTCCTTGCCACTCCGTATGAGTGATTCAAATATTAATCAATAAGAAAATGAAAGAGTACATGCTTCTTGTTCCTAAAACAATGTACTTCCAATATTTTCCACCCCTTGTTCAAATTTTGAATTAAAGAGAACAAACGAGTCACATCTACCAAAGTAAAATATAATAACATACATGTTTTTGAGATTGTATTAAATCAATGGCTGAAAAATAAAAGAATGAAATAAAAATTTCAAGTCTCCAGAATTGATGTCTATAGAAAATATTATCCTTTAGCAACATTTAAGGGTAAAGATCACATTACTTAACAGAAGACAACTTTATGGTAAATTTCTCCTGGGTTAAATAGAAAATTATTTATATGTGGATACTATAGCATTTACTAGGATAGTAGTTATTAGAATTTAAGGGATTGTAAAGAGGTTTTCTGAATTTTTTATGTGTTTCAGGACACAGATAACATCAATTTGTACCATTCCAATTTTCAATTAAACTTCTGTGGTTACTGCAATTCCACCAAAACTAAGTGTTTGATGACAACACTAATTGCAAAATATTAGCAATTAGCAACATCATCAAACTAATAGTTTTAGTGGAATTGCAGAAAACCCTACAATGCCTATGAGGTGCCTTGAGGTATTGGTGGGATGTCAGTTGGATTCATTAACCAAGTTAAAAACCTTGATTGGAAACAATAAACTACATACGTTCTTCAGATTCATCTCTTCTCACTCTTTCTTCTTCTAATTTCTCTAAACTTCCAAACTTACTTTTCACTCTAAAATGAAAGAAAAGTTGTTGTATAAATTTAAAGGATCATGTCAACCTTCGTAAACAATGACTACCATATCAGTAATTTCTCCTGCCTTGAATTTGAGATAATGATCAGAAGTATCTGAAGTTTTCATTTATCTGGTGGTATTTAAAACAATTTTGATGAAAATTGGAGAAATATTCAACAAGTGGTTGCCTAGCAAGATACCCCCACTTTCCTGAAATTCTAAGTTGTCCAAGATCTCATTAATATAAATGATCACACTAAATTTCATTCAATTCAGATAAAAACTGTTGTCTCTATTGCGTTCACAAGCCCATTGTAGACGGACGGACAGGCGTATAATAAAAATGCTGGCAACATGACTTACAATTCCTCTATATCTTTACGAATATACACCTCATCTGTTCCTCCTAATACATAAGCACTTCTGGTTTTGATAGCTGATAATGTTCCTAGATCTCTAAAAAATATATAATATGGACCATGATGAGAACTTTTGCGGTACAGATATTCGATGATATGGAACTTCGATTTCTGTTCTTCATGATAAATGATGGCAAAATATGGTTTCAAATGCTCAATGTTATATAAAAATAAATGGTGAAAGGCAGATCTTCATACCCTATTCCAAAAATATTGTTTACTGTTCTCATCCTATGTCTAGTGAGTGGATCAATCAAGATTAATGAAACTTACTTTGGTGTTAATAAATAATCATTTAAAGCTCGATTTTTTTCTACATATTTCAACCGGAATCTAGGAGTAACTGAAATAAAATATGAAAACTAATACACAAGCCATTACTAACAAAAAATACCACACAGTTTTGTTGCTTTTCTGTATATAATTTTTTATTACGCAGAGAGTCGTAAGGCAAATGAGATCCTTCCCAAGACAAGATACCTTTTACAATAAATAACATAATAAATATTGAAACGCATGCTCAATGTCAGATATTATTATTTCAACTAAATCCAGATTTGTCATACCTGCTGGAGGAATTTCAGGAACCTCTTTTGCTTTGATTTTTGCATTTTTCCCTGAATCTCCATTACTTGAGCTTATAACTCTGGTGATTTTAAACAATGGGGAGACTGGTGAGAGTCTAAATGTATTATTTACATTTTTGGGTAATATTCTTAAAGCACTACAATCTGAAATAAAAAAAACATAATAAAATTACACCTATTTTTAAACTTTCAACCTCCATCTTTTCCATTTGAAAAAAATGTCAGTTACAAATAAAACGAAACTTATTTTCATAGAATATAAGCTTACTGTACAGTATGTGCTGGTAGTAGATACCACTACATATGGTATCGTACTTTTTTGTCTTAAACGTTTTTGTTTATTGAACTGCAAAAGGCCAGATGAAATAATGAAAAATGCCATTTCAAAGATTTGCAAGTAATAACCCAGTTCTGATTTCTGACTTCTTTTGGGAGATAAGGGGTGATGCATTCTGGGATTGTAGGGAAGATAAACAAACCGACACAGAAACAAGCGAAAGGTTTTGAAAATAAGAGGCAGCATTGAAGAGTTTTCACATTATCTCTACTTATTAAATCGTATTTGGATGTTATTGTCATTTGATAAAGTTCTGTACCTGTACATGTAAAGAGGTGTCTGTGTGTAGTTTTACATACAACATGACTACTATTCAATATTTTCTGTTCTAAAAAAACTATCCTTCTTCTACATAATGACTGCAATAACATTCTCCCGACTCAAGAAAAGTTTCATACACTATATGTTACTCGATGGTACCATAAAGTAACTTTTATACAATCTGTAAAAAATAAATGTATAACGTACTTACTAAAACATGAACCGAGTAGGAAACGAACAACGATAACGTGGAACGAAAAGGAACCTAGCAGGATAACGACCTCAAACTATTTTGTGATGAATTCCAAATATGCTTATCAGGCCCAACAAGTACGAAAGTATAAAGGTAATCGTTCTGATAAAATTTTTTTTTACATTCTGGTTGTTTATAAATTAAATGACAACTTTTGTCCATTTTACCAATTATTTTTACAAAGTTGATATTTGGTCGTAACCCAGTCAAGCTACTTTTTTGCAACCGGTATTTGGTAGTAATTTTTGCTTACCCCAAAAAAAGTCAAAACAATTGAAAATCAAAGCGAAAAATCTAGTGTAGTGACTTGTCATAAGTTGAAATGTCAAGGTCCATTCTCAATACACTTTACTTTACGGCCATGATTTTTTTTTACTGTACATGGAGAATCAGAAGTTGCGAAAATAAACTTGACCAAGTCAGGGCTCAATATCCACTTCATGGTTTTTATTATTTTGAATCTTAGGAGGAATATCTTCATTTGAATGAGTAAATGACATAGCCTACAGTGTCATAAGACAAAGTTATGTTTTCACTTGCTCAGGATATTGTTAGAAACTCGAAAGACAGTGAGAAATGCAAATTTCGACTGTGATTTTGAGTATCCATGTTGCCCGTGCATAAATTTATGCCAATCTGCCATCAATGTGATCAATTTTGACTGTGTAGCCCACAGGCATCTGTTTCTATCAATAATGAACTCTCTCTATAATAGTATACAGTCAAGTAACCTAATTTCTTGCTAACCTATTTTTCGTGCATTTCCAGAAATGATTAATAATTCACATGTGCAAACTCGCATGACCTTTGCATTTGCTTGTTTTGAATAACATTGGTTTTCTGTACAATGTCAGCTAGTAGAATGAATCCAGTAGTTTCAAGCAAGGTAAAATGTATTAATGTTTACTTTGACAAATACAAAATGGCGGATTTCAGTTAATACCAAACGTCACCATTTTTTATCGGCCAAATTATCCCATGTGGTAATCAGAATTCCAAGTGTCGTCTGCTAGAATATAGTCCAACCAATGAAGTCACGTGGTCAACTAGTGGATTCCATGTCAGCAGAAAATTTCTATGGAACACAAAGTGAGCCATATTCTTATGTCGTTTTAGTGACTTTTAGCAATAAATCACACTACGTATCTTATTTTGTCAGTCACTATTTTTTTAAAAATTGGGTTCTTTGAAGGACTTGTCACTAGTTATAATGAATTGATATTAAAGATCAATACTAAGAGCAGTTAATTATACCACCCGGTATCCATACAATGTGTTTTTCTCGACTTATTTATAGATCAAACATTGTACATGACAATAGGTGACGCATTATGCGACCGTTGCCGAGTTGGTTGCTCATGAAATATGGGTCAAAGTGAAGGATTCATAAACAAAATCGAAACAAACCGATTTCAATTATTTTGTAGAATATCCGAGGAAACATCTAAGACGAAAAAAAAAATTCGTTTTTTTAACTTTGACGAAATTCGGTGTTGAATCCTTATATCGACGAAAATAGGTTACACCACTGTATATATGAGAAGGTGGCAAAAGCTTGTCAGATACATTGAAATGACGGGTGTATATTTTTTTAGTATTTTTATTGAACAATAAATAGATTAGTAAGAAGAGGAACACCGAGGGAGATATAAAATAGGTCTTGAATGAAGGGAAAATATTCAATGAAACGATTCATATAAGGTTGGGATAATGTTTCATTACGGTAAATGGTAGAAATCGTCTGCAGCGGAGATTGTCGTGACGAGCGTTAGCCACCTTCTCATATATATACTATTATAGAGAGAGCTGACTATTGGTAGAAACAGATGCCTGTCTGTGGTGTAGCCGGTGGGTTGACTTCTTCTCCGAGAACTAAGTTTCGGACTATCAATAAATTCAAAACCGGTGTGCAAGGGGATAGAAACTAAAACCGATCTTTAAAACTATTCGATATCTTAAGTTTATGACTTATTTTGCATTTGTCATTTGTCTAAGCCTGTAGACTTACAGTTTCAAAAAACTAAACTGTCGAAGAATACATTTGTTTTTGGTAGAACTACCCCACTTCCGGTTAAACAGGAAATTGTTTGTAAAATTAAGGTTGGACTAAACACGGCCATGTATCAAAATAAAATGAAATGATCTCCTACACTTTATTCAAACGTTCACTTTTAAACCAATCTCACGTTATTATGTAGAAATCATTAAAAATGTTGGTCTTCTCATTCAATTTCCAGAGTAGGCAAAATAAAATCAATTTCTAACTCTTTTAAGTGTAGGCCTATCGGATACACTTATAGCATGAATTTGCACCATTCCAATTTTCAGTCAGATGTCTGTGGTTCCTGCAATTCCACTAAAACTATTATATGTTTTTTAGGCCCTCGCGATTAGTGAGGTCATCAATCACTTAGTTTTAGTGGAATTGCGGGAACGACAGACATCTGTTTGAAAATTGGAATGGTGCAAATTGATCAGTGTGCCCGATATTCATAATGAAAACAATTACAATCCCTTTAAGATATAAATAATTAAAGAAGTAAGCCTGTCAACATTAGATCTTGGTGAATTTATATAAAGAACATTGATGGTTCTCTCACATTGTTATTTATTGTGGGAATGTAAACAATACAGAAAATATGCTCCTATAAACTTAATCTGATATTCTTTTATGTAGATTTTCCAACAACGTTCATTATCTAGGGCCTACGTTATCATGATTTTCGTAGGCCTACAATTATAGTTTAAAAAGTTTTTTTTTCACGCCAAAATCCTCATTTCATCTAAGGACCACTGAAAGCTTCATCAAAAGCAAATTCGTCATTCCTAAATTTGACATCAGCCAGTCTGAGAGTCCACAAGGTTTATAAATTGCATACATCTCGTATATTTAATAGACCATATTTCTCGCGGTCAAAAGTTTTAATGTAAGATTGCCTCAAGTATCTTTCAAGCGTTTTGTCTCGATTGAAATTACATGTTTTAATACAAGTTATTATTTTAGAACCCAATCTCTTTAACTCGCTCTCTCTACATAACGATAGCAGATCTTCTAGACTATAAAACTATTTTCTCATCAATATTTTATCTGCTATAAAACTAATGTGTCGACATGCAAACTACAGCTCTATCTTCAATACATTACAAATTAATCTTAGCTTTGATTTCACCACACTACTAGTAAAACCCAGCACATCAAAGAAACCTTCTAATCTCAGTCAACAAAGCTTGTCGGACACAGTCATATTATGGAGAATTCATAAGTAGGCTAATGATTTTTTGGCAATGAACATATAAAGTTGAACTGTTTGATATTATGCAACAAATGTATTGCCAAATTGTTATAATTTAATATATTAACTCATTAGTACACAAAATATTTGATTTAGAGTTTCGTTTTGTGGTTCTGGTCGTTTGTATTTTATTTTTAATCATATTAAGACACAATATTTCATTCGTCGAGTAAGTCGGTCAATTATTTGACACAGGGTTCAGGGCATTAGAAACCCATACAGATAAAGATTCTCTAAATAGTTATCTCTTCGCACAAATGGATAACGTAAATGGATACAGTTGTCCAATTTGGTTATGATATGGTACAGTTGCCAAGTCTGCATTATATTGACAATCAATTTTATGTACATTTTCTTTGTGTCTTCATATAACTCATTGTTTTTTATGTTCGTCCCCATGGGCTGAATGTTAAGCAGGACCAAATAAATTGGCGTAAAACAATAACGTCGGCTATAAATAGATTGATTTAAGGACTGAATGTGGATTTTGTTATCGTTATGGGGAAAT